CACTACATCCGGGCGCCGATGCAGCGGCTCTAACTCACTTATCACTGTACTCGAGCCATGCAGCGCGTTACTTACGGGCAACGACCTAGCATTAACATTATAACGTCTATTGTCCATGTTCATGATAGATTCAACAAATTTTTACATTGGCTGTTGATGGCCTAACACAACCCTCCTCCTTTACCCGGGCTTGGGACCGGCTATAAACATAGGCGGAGTTAAAACCAACAAATTCCAATGTCATCAAAATACACAGAATAAACAGAGGATAATAGGAAGGAGATTTTTGATCAAGTCATAGAACCAAACTGTATGGGTTAGTATGTGTTGGTTTTTAGTTTATATCTAACAAAGTCTATTTAAAATATGTAACTATTTGTTGAATTTGATAAAATTATATCATAAACATAATTTAAATGTATTTTTAAGAATTATTCAAATATGCTCTTAAATTTTTGGAGTCCTAAGTTCAAATTACTGGTACCAGTGCCACACAGATAAGACGTAAGAGGAGGGCCACACGATGTTGTGGGGTTGTTATTGTTATAATAAATGGCCGTCTTGCACCAAACTTGGGATGCTTGACGACTTCAACATTAATTAGAGTCACCCGCCTTGCTTCACAATGCAAACAAAACAGATACTAGCTAGTCGTTTACAACAATCTTACACACACAAGTTTCAAACTTGAATATTACGGCTCTGAAATTCTCTCCTATGTAGTCCTACTGCCTAACCCATTAGGTTGGACTTCTGAGTTTGAGGCATTTATTGATCCCCACGTGAATAGCCTCCGCGTGTTCGTGGTCTCACACGGTTTATCACGTTTATACTTTGAATGCCAAAGTTTTGATTCATTCTCTTCAGCTAATTGCATGTGCATGCCATTATTACAGCAACTAATTAGTCACATTTCTTTCGAACATGCATGCATGGTAGAGATCAGTTTCAGAAAAGAGTCGTATTGGTTATGATCGCTTGTTAAACTATGTGGTTTTGCAACTGTATTTATACTTGATATTTATTACTGCTGGAAGTCTCTCGCTTTCTTCGTACTACCAATTCACTCAACTACGAAATTTTCGGTGATTGATGTTACTGGCTATTAAATATGACACACACACACACACAAAGATTAAGATACATGGATATATTATTACTTTTGTCATTTTACTTATGCTTTACATTTGGCTGAATTGAAAGTGTTTATCCCTTCACTAGAGAATCAATCTCTCCTTTAGTCCTTTTGTTTTCCTCGTTATCCAGTTTTGTTCTTATTTTTATTTCTCACTCCCTCTGATGAAATTTTCATTTGTCTCTCTAATCTCAATAAATAGGCTAGGCTAGCACAAAAATGGAAATGAAATAATTAAGTTATTTATTTATTTTTTGGATGTGAGGCCGGGGTGCAGGGAATTAGATACCAGCATTTTTGGGCTGTTTGGATATTCGTCTAAAAAAATTGATTATGAAAAAATAATTAATATAATTGATTTTGAATATAATTAATTATGTTTTATAGTATAATTAATTAATAATATTAATCTTAAGCATAATTGAAAATTAGTTAAAATTATAATTTCCCGAGAATATATCTAAACACTTTACAACAAGTCAAAATCAATTACAAATTTAAAATCATGATTTTTTTTAAAATCCAAACACATGTTGAAATCAATTATGAACCAAAAATTCTGATTTCCTTAAAAATACCTAAACATTTTTATACACGCTAAAATCAATGATGAATCAAAAATTATGATTATTTCATAAGCTATCATTACTTACTTTTTAATCCAACTCTTCAATTATACCTCCTTAAAAATTTACCAAAAATCATATAAAATATATTTTATAAATTATGATTTTAAATTTATAATTGATTTTGACATGTATGATAGATGTTTAGATATATTTTTACAAAATCATGATTTTAGCCTCCAAAATTGATGACTTATGATGTTATTCTAACATGCAATTGAGGGTTTCAAACAATTTGTTCAAATACACTGTAAAATAAAATTTATATAGAATTCTTTTGTTAATAAGTTATAAATAATACGATTTATTTATTTATTTTGTCAAACTTTACATGGCTAGATACACGCAAGAAAACACGTCTAATTAGAAATAACTATCATTATTGTATAAGTGTAATTTTTTCTAGTTTTCAAAATTTTCAGTGTCAATATCATTAATATACCAACAACAATATCAAGAGGAATTAACAAGAAAATTTTTAGTATGTAAACGTGTTCAACTTTTGTACGTACATAACAGAACTTTCGTACGTAACATTTTTCCCTTTTATTGGCCAATTTCGTAAAATGTGTTCAACTTCATTAAAATCTAACTTGACTATATATGGGTAGGTTCTTAAAAAAGGGAAAGATGGTTGGGTGTTACTGCAATGCGGTACAAGGGTTTGAACCAGGGTAGATAAGGTGGGAGGGCCAAATAATTTAAATAAAAATTATTTTATATACTGATAATTTATTCTTTAACTTTTTAAATTTTTAGAATAAAAATTTAATAAAATATTTTTACAAAATGGAAAAAATTATAAGATAAGAATAACTTAAAATTATATCATATTTTTTTAAAAAATTAAAACTAAGTCATATATTTAATTTATGCATGTGATAGAAACACTAAAAAAAAAACTGCATGCTTGATGTACTGAAACCGAGACTAATCAATAATATATGCACATTAAATAATAAAAATAAATTTATTAAATTAATTACTCAATTTTTGTAATAAAAATTTATTCAAGAATTTTTTTTTGAAAAATCTAATAAGAAACCTAACATATACCTGATCAATATTAAATTTCACTCTTGTTTATCAATAAAAAATAATATTCATCTTGCATAGATACTAAAAATATTTTTATAAATCAATATAATATGCATTTTATATTTATTTAGTTGATGAATAAATAAGAAATTAGAATTATACATACATGAAAATATGAGAGAGTTTTATTGGGACTTTATTCACAAATGTATATGTAAGAAGGAAAGGGATTAGTTTTTCTTTGTCTGTCTGTCTGTCTGTTTGTTTTTTTTTTTTTTTGGGCCGCTCACCTGTATACACACAGTCCCACACGAACCCCAATACCCCACACATACATGAAATGGCTATGGGGTTGGGGCACAAGGAGCTTGTCCTTTTCTTTTTCCTTCTTTTCTCTTCACTTCTCCATCCTCACCCCTTATTAATTATATAATTAAAAAATTATTTAATAAAATAATATGAATTGTGAGTATTAGAGAAGTGAAGAGAAAACCAAGGGAAAAAAGGAAGAGGCTTCCCTTCTAAGAATTGTTCCCCTTTAAAAAGTGCGTGAATCTGCTCTTAAATCTTAATACAATAGTCAAGGGTCAATTAGTGTAATTTTTTTATGCATAAATTGAAAGGGGATTGGAATTTAAAATACTTAATCTGCTTTAAACAATTGTGGTTTAAGCTTGTATCTATATACTAAGAAAAACTATTAAATAAATCATCTCACTTGTTACAAAATCCAATGATATTTTACTAAAATGATTATATATATTATAGAATTTTTTTTTGGCCAAAATATTATTTTAGAACTTGAACCTCAACTATCTTTTTTTTTTCAATTATGGACGAGCTAAAATTAAATGTAATGAAAATATTTAATGCTTAATTAAAATTCTAAAGCAAACAATTATTTTGAAATGAAGGGAGTTTTGCGGGTGTGTAAGAGAAATATTTAGATAGATCGGGTACATTGCGTAATAAAAACATGACATTTAGATGACATAAAATGTAAATTGATTCTAATATTAACGATAGTAAAAAGAAAAAAGGTAAAAAATTAAATGTACATTATGTTATAAAAATAAAATTAATTTAAAAAATATCATACAAAATTTTCATTTAGATTATTTAAAATATTTTAATTGAATATATTATAAATAATGTAGTGCACTCGATCTATTTAAATATTATTAATATCATTTATTCGACATAGTTCATGTATCAACTTGATAAAAACTAATTAAATTATGTCTTCCTATTACTAGCAAACAATCAGAGTTCAACCAAAATGCTCAGAAGCTGGCTTAAGCCAAATCATTTTGGACTGATAAAATTCAGAGCCGAGCAGAAGTGATGTCGGGCAAGGTACTTTCTATATTTTTCTGATAAAAAAAATAATACTTGGGAATTTATCTGTCAAAAAAGAAAAAGGTTAAAAATCTTTGAAATTTGACAATAACGTTTTATGACCGTGGAATTACTACAAGAGACCAGATAAACGTAAGGCATGGTTGAGATTAATTATTATAGGCTAAAATATATATTTAATTCTTTAAATTTATACGATTCTTCACTTTAATTTTTTAATTTTATAAAATATTTTTTTAATTTTTTAATTTTAATATTGCCTTTAGTTTCATTCACAAAAAATTCCTTCATTTAACTTTTAAATATTAAAAAATATTTTTAAATGCTGACAAATTAAATTTATTTTTTTTAAATAACAAAGATTGACATAAGAAGTAATCATCTAAAATTAATGATATTAGGATTAGTGAATTGAAAAGATGTTTTATATTAAGGGATCAAATTGTAACCTTGTATAAAATTAATGGATAAAAAAATATACTTTAGCCATCATTATAATAACAAAAAGTCTCATCGTTAAAAATTTATAGTGACAACAAAATTAAAGAATAATTGTCGTGGCTGATTAGGACTTTTGACAAGAATTTTTTTGTTTAAACTTCAACTATACTGTTTTTTCCATCTGCCATAGAAAAAGAAGAGACAAGAATACCAACTCTGTGACCCCATGATGCAAGTAATAGATATTTGAAAGGCTGGGGAAAAAATATATTAGGTGGAACTGTGGATGGTTTCTTAAGAACTGTCGGATATACTGTTTATACTAATTTTTTGGGGGGTGTGTGAATGTATATAAATATATCTTGCTTATTTGACAATTTAATCAACATGTGTGGGACAAATTAGACGCTTAAGCTACCCGATAATTCAACTGTTAGGCCTGACAACGGGACCTTGCGAACATCATAAACTTCTTCATAATTGTTAAATATATAAGATTCCTTCCTGCCCACGAACATTTTGTTATTGAACAATTTTATTAACAAGATTGTTGATTTCATTCTTTTTTTAACACTTCATGGACAACAATTAGGCCCACTACACATTTTACCAGTCCAATTCTAGAGTAATAGGCCCAATCCCAAAGTCCAAAAAATAGAATCAGGCTGCGTTATTTGTTTTTATTATTTGGAAAAAGGATGCAATAACCCCTCCGAAGCCAGATCACAGGTTCCACAATTCTTTCTTTTTTCTTTTTAACCTTCTCTTGTCTTGTCTTTCTTCATCTTTTTAAAATTGTGATAAGTACTGTACCAAAACAATTGTAATAAGTAAGTCTTGACAAGTAAAATTCAAAACAGACTAATTGATAAACTAAACAGAATTGGAGAGGGAGGGGAGAGAGAAAAGGACGATTTAAATTTTAATGCATTTGATTACCCAATTATGTCTTTGGGGAGGATAATGAAATTACAAATTCAAGACATAATAGGTAACTCAGTTTGCCTTGGGCTTCATGTTATGGATTGAGCCATTTATTATTTCGCCAGGCAAGCACAGCGCGCGCGCGCGCGGGGATTCTATAAAAGCATGTCACTTAAACTTGAAGGGCAGAGCCCTCATGACAAAGGGTGCTCACCAGGGGTGATGCGCGCTCATCCCCTGAACGAATCTGAATAATTTAGATTTAAATATTTTATTTATTTTTTTATTTTTTTAAAATAAAAATTTATAAAATTTTAAATAAATATATTTATTATTAACATGTATCATTTATACTTAATCAGATGAGTATAATTTTTATTAATTTTTTTATAATTTTTTATAAATTGATTATACTGATTTAGTCTGTACTGTTTAGATTTAAAATTTTTAACTTCTTATACTTATTAGATTCAAAACAGTTCAAAATAAATCCGTATCATGAATTTATAAAAACTATAAAAAATTAAAATTAAATTTAGACTGGTCTGATTAATTATAAATGATACATGTTAATAATAAATATATATATTTAAAATTTTATAAATTTTTATTTTAAAAAAATAAAAAAATAAATAAAATATTTAAATTTAAACAGTCCATATTAAATTTGTACGGTCCAAATCCCTTGCTGGGTGATGAGCAGAATGTGCTCCCTTGTGACAAATTGACAATCTTATGATATGAAGCTGCAAGACCTGCCCCAAGAAAGGGTCCCACCCAGAAGATCCACTGCAGACAAAAAGTTGACAGGTGAAATTGCCATTGAATGAAAGAGTATATTACGCAAATCCATTGTATATATTGAAGTTGAATGGTGTAATGAGGGAAGAAAAGAGGGTGATGACTCAAGGAATCGGTTACCGTGGTGCTCAGCACCAAAACACTGTCGTTTGGCAGTGCTTTTTTTTTTTTTTACTTTTTTAAACTACAAATTTATTATACTAATAATAAATAAATATTATAAAATTATTATTTTAATATTTAGTAAATAAATAAATATTAATATGTTAAAATTAAATATAAACAGATTAACTCATTAAAATTTAATTTAAACAATTCATATATAAATTTTGGTCTGAACAGTTCAGAACTGTATTAAAAAAATTAAAATTATAAAAAAAATATTTTTTTATTTTATTGATTTTGCACAGTTGTTTATTTATGAGAAATAATATCATTTGAGGCATAGTTAAGTATTAAATGTAGGTACTTCTCTTAATAGAAATTCAAACATTGATTTATTACAGTGTAAAAATTGGCTCATTTTGCTAGACTCAACTCTTATTTTAAATTATTTAAATTATTTTTTATTTTTTTAGTACAGTTCTCAGTGTTCAGACCAAAATTTTTATTTAAACTATTGAGGTTCAATTTTAACATCTTAATATTTATTACTTTATTAAATATTAAAATAATAATTTTATAATAATTATTTATTATTATAATAAATTTGTGTTTTAAAAAAAAATACTGTCAAACGGTAGTGTTTTGGTGCTGAACACCACGGTGCTCATCAACTGAGTCCTTGACATAGTCGTCCCAAACTCGATCCTTGTTGTAAAGGACTGCCACACCGAGACTTCTTGCAGGGTAGATCCCAGTCCCTGTGATAGGAATTGTAGCCAAATGTACCACGAACACAACAAACCCAATAGCCAGTGGTGCCAATACCTAGTCATCATTCACACAAAACTTAACTCATGGCTTCACTCCTGGCACGTTGTTTTTTGGGATCACAAGAAATATTTCATACATTTTTTAATAGGAGAAGATTTTGCTTACAGGGACGTGAGAGTCTCGAGCTTTTCGTTTGGCATCATTGGCGTAGAAGACAGCATAGACAAGCAGAAACGTTCCAACAATTTGGGCACCAAGGCCACTGCGTATGGAGTATCCGTCTCCAAGATTGTTGGCACCCCCTCCGACCATCTCGTACTGGCCTGCTTTTTTTTTTTAATTGATTGTAAACGGCTAGCTGTAAGCTAGGAAGAAAAAAGCTAAAAAGAAATCAATTCAAGTGGGATCTATATCCACTACTGTCATATAAAAGAAGAGGTTCATGCTCTTCAAAAACTGTGTAAAGTAGCTTGAGAGTATTTAGGCATGAATGTGAGGAGATTGGATTAGAGGTTTCCACAATAACTTAGGCAACATCCCAATTACTATTGCTGAAATTCAAATCATTAAATGTAGGATTGATCTGTGTAGAAATCACTTAAGTGAAATAGTGTGGATTTACTCAGACTCTTTGGATGTCATAAATCTCACTATAAAGGAGTTGTTCATGACCATCCTTTTTATGATGAGATTTTGATAACACAAGACCTTTTGTGGACCTATCAAGATATCAAACTCTTCTATACGCCTCATGACACAAACTATTGTGCAAATTATCTGTCTAAGATGGCCTGCTTTAAACCCCTTCACAATCACAACACCACATATAGCTCCCAAGCATTGCATTGTCATGTACAACATTGCCCTAGGCAGTGGCACCTTCCTCATCACACTAGTGCAAACACGAGCTTTAACGACATATTTATTACTACAACTTATCAAATAACTATGATAATATTAGACTTGACGGCAAATATGTAAATAAATTAAAAAATATAGCATTTATGGCCACAGAAAGAACTGTAGCCATAAATGTCTAAGTGACAATTGAATAAATTAGTTCTAATTTTTAATTATGTGTGAATTTAGAAAAAATTAATTTAGTCTAACTAAAACTTAATAAATTGACTAATTAAATTAAGTTATTAATTATAATTTTAATGTTTTCAAATTAAATTATGTAATATGTTTTAGCAAAGGGGTAAATTCCTCAACTATTAAAAAAAATTGTTACATAGCTTACGGCCACATGTTTGAGGTGGACCTGTTAACATAACTTTAGGGTTTTTTTAAAAAATTACCTAAAGGAAAAATCCCTCAACTATTAAAAAAAATTGTTACATAACTTATGGCGACAGGTTCAAGGAAGACCTATCACCATAAGTTACCTAAAATTTAAAAATTTAGCTGAGGGTCAAAAAACCCTTAGCTTTTGATTTACGGTGACAGGTCCTAGGAGGAAGTGTCACCATAAATCATTTAAGACGACAGGCCCTCTTCGGACTTATCTCTATAAATACCCCTCAGCTATTAAAAAATAAAATTAGCCCCATAGCTAATTTAAAAAAATTATTATATAATTTATAGTGATAGGCCTATCAGTTACCTAAAATTTAAAAATTTAATAAGAGAAAATATTGATAAAATGAGGTAGAATGAAGACTTACTTCACTTCTTCTTAATCCCAAGCTTCAAGACATCTCCTCATGCTCTCCTAAGGTTTTCTCTAGTTACAGTAGTTGAAAGACTGCTCCTCTTATCTAGAAAAAAGAGTTTTGTAGGGTATTTTCACATTAAAAAAAACTGTGGTTTCTGCATTTTCATCTAGTGCCATGTCACACTTTCTGTGGTGCCATGACACCAATAAGCAATTATAATAAAGACAATATGTAGGTACTTTTGCTTTTGTGTCTTAGAATTAGAAACATGAAATTTAAAATTTAAAATTCATTTTTTAATAGGAAAAATGAGGTAAAGGGTAGGAAATTGCTCGATAAAATCAATGCCCCCACACACTGTCTCGTGAGGGTTATGTTAGGACTGATAATATATTGATGGTGGAGAAACATAAGAAGGGAGAAGAAAAAGCTAGGTCTAATCCCTCCATACTCTTTTCTCTACCATCCCCCATCTCTCGAGAGGAGAAATGGAGATATGGACACCAATACAAAAAAGGAGGCAAAAAAGGTTATATAAGCGAGACGACGCACAAGATAACTGAGAGAATTGTAAATAATTATTATTTCCTGTCCCTTTCTTATACAATTGTATGTTATAGGATACTCTTAAGGAGTAACAAGCCCAAGAAAATTTCATTCTAAAGGGCAGAAATGATATCTTGACAGTTACAACAGAAAAATCAGAGCATTCGGGTCATGTGAGGGGCGTTGGACGTGGTATAGGCATAAGAGACAACTTTGAAGCACCTTTACGCCCTAACTCAAGAGGTGTAGTGACTAAAGAAGAGCTTGAAACAATAATATCCACTGTGAGGCAGCAGACTAAAGAAGAGTTTAAAGCTTCATTCGCAGCCCGGCTTTTACAAATAAAGGAGCAAATGAAGGAGATGATGAGCATGATAAGCTCACGATAGGATATGCCTACTGAACTAGTTCATACGTCTCTTGAATTTTATATCACAAAAGGGAGTAATGTTCTTGAGCGTGTATCAAAAGGTCCTTCTGGTGACAACATTATTGAACCATGCGAGATGTTTCTAGAAGATCCTCATAGACGCTTGGTTGCTTTTAATAGCATTTACAACTTGAGGTCAACTATCCACCATAAGCAAATTCAAGATTATCAAGTAAGAGTGGTGGTTGAAGATCTAAAAGTGCCAAATGCGTTAGTTCCATTCCTTACTAATGAGGTAAAGACTATAGTAAAAGCTATTGGCAATTTTATCTTGTGGCCTAAGAGACTTGTAAATATGGTTCAAGCTGTGGTATGAAATTTTATTATGTGGCAGCTTTCCTAAAATGTTTTCTTATTAACTATTTCTTTTTTTTTATTATGTATAATAGCTTCCTCATTGAATCTCCTAAAACTTTCAGAACCCTCATTAACTCCATAACAATGAATTATTTTAATGGTGTATGATCTATCATTCAAACTCAAAGATTAAAAAATGGATCCGGAGGTTGTGGGTAAAAAGACATGATAGTGACAATTGAACAGGAAGATTTGTTTCGACTTTTGTCAAATAGTCAACTTACCACACCACACATTGAACTATTTATAATGTAAGTTTGTGTTTCTTTAATGCAATTAACTAAATTATCAAGTCTAGTAATCTAACACAATTGCATTGCTATAGGTACCTTTATCATTTGTGCATCACATCAAGTAAAGGTGATAAGTTTGAATTCCTTTGCCCGCATCACATAACAGAGAAAGGGAATACTCTAAAGTTAAGGGTCCATTATCTCCAACAAAAAATATGTGAAGTCAAAAAGGATATTTTTATGGCTCCATACATGCACTCGTAAGAATTAATTTGTAATTAATAGTTTTTAATGTAGATTTACTTTAACTTATCATATTTTGCAGGGACCACTGGCAGCTGTTTGTTCTTTCAATGAAGAGCAATACTATTATCTTCTTATGTTCCCTCCATTACAAACTTGAGAAGAAAATGAAGAAGACGATAGACTCGTAAGTATATTTGTGCAAAAATATTTAATATAATTTACACTGAATATTTCAATTACTAACTTAGTAATCTTAATCATAGAGCAATAAAAACATATCAAAATATGGTCTTACAAAAGCATGGACATGAGCTCAAGGATCCTACATGGATCGAGCCAAAGGTGATGCTATACTTTATGAATATGTTTCATTACTAAGATTTTTTATTAATTTCTTATGATTTGTTCTTATACAAAGTCGTAGACAATCAGTGAAGATGAACTTGTGCAGCCTATATGTGATGAGACATATACTCAACATTATCACATTAGGCATGATTAAATTTATAAAAAATGTAAATATATTTTTAAAAGTTATATTTTATTATGTTATTTGAGAGTACATAATAAGCCTCTTTTACAAATTATATTTTAAATGTTTGACAATTTGAATCCATTCCCTGAAACTGAAATTGAAGGCATCCGCATATGTTGGGCAACTTATTTTGGGGAGAATTTGTGAGTTTTGTAAAAAGTTTCATACAATTTAAGAAGTTTGTTTATTGTAGACAACTTTTAAAATATTTGTTGATACAATGGTTAGTTTTGAATAGCTCAATAGATTTTAGATAGTTTATAGATAACTTTCAATTTTGGGTAGTTGTTAATTTAATTTTATATTAAAAATTATAAATAAATTGTGCTATCTGATTTGGCAAGAGAATTTTGTATACAGAGTAGGGTAAATTTAAAAATACGGACGTTTATTTTTAAAATAAAATATACTTTTTATAGTGATTATTACAATAACCAGTGTAAAAATTACTATTCTACATCAGTTAATGTAAAAACTGGTATAAAATATTAAACTTTCTACAGCGGTTGGAACACAACCGCTATAAAAAGTACTGCAGTTTTTAATTTTTAAATCGTTAATCCATTTTCTACATTGGTTATAGTTAGTTGATGTAGAATATATATTTTTTTACGGCGGTTGTATAATCGATGTAGAAAGTTAAACTTTTTATATCCCCTGTAACAACATCGCCTATTTAACTACTGTAAAAAGTTATTTTTAACTGCTATAAAAAGTCATTTTTGTAGTTGTGACATTTTTCCTTGTCTCCTTTCTCTTTCTTCCTTTAATTTTTCATGCCTTACCTATAAACAATTAATAAATATAAGTGGAATAGTTGCTTGCTTCAATTTCCATCATTTTAAACAATTTTCTTAAAAATATTACAATAAATCTATATGAGACACTTAATTAATTTTTCTTTATAAATGCAAGAAAATGCTTCTCTTTTTCATTGATGACTCTCAAAATATAACTAAAAACATGTCAATTATAATACAAAATAGGGAGTCATTAATAAGTCACCGGGCATAATGGCACTGGTAATATTAATCTTGATCCCCCTGTACTAGATCATGATAATAGAACCTCTTGTTATCTTTACATGAGATTTCAAAAAAATGTGTTGTTGCTGAAGGTCAAATATACAAACTTGAGTCCACAATTTATTATTAGAATATTACAGCTAACTAAGTTAGGGTGACAATTACACATGTTTAAAAGTGTAAGAATAATGCACACGTGCCATTTCTCATCTCTAATGTTATAACAGTAGATCAAGCAAAATGTTCATTTATTCTATAACCTAAAAATCTTGTGTTAGAAATCAATGCGACATTGCCAAAAGTACAAAACAAGTTAATGTTATGTTATTTTTTTTGAGTTAATTAATTACTTATATAACTCTTTCTTTTTATGTTTTAATAGGAACCTAAAAATGGTATTAAATTTCTTTGCTTGGCACAACTGCATGAAATTTTTAAAGATATGAAAGAAGGCATTACTATTAAAATACCATTTGGGGTTGTGGCTATGGAAAGGGGATATGATTTGGATTTGACAAAAGAGATCTTAAGGCGTTCCTTAATTTTGAGGAGTTAGACATATCATTGGCCAAATTGGGCATCTTATAATTTTTCCATCTACTTTTTTCATTTTTTTTATTTTATTTTCATACAACTAACATTTTGATCTTATTTCAATGATATCTGTACAATATTTATTGTGCAATGAGAAAGCAAAGCACATTTGGATTTTTGTGCTTGGAAGCTACGTAAAAAGTTCACAACATAGTACATAAGAGGATGACATATGTGATGAATTAAATATATTAAATATAAAATTGCTATGTTATCTAATGCCACTAATTGATGGGCAAGTATTTTTCATACATGCATGTGCATGCGTATATACATATTCATGTTATTAAATACTCATCAAAATTTTTATATGTTGCAGGTACCATTGATTATTTTGTGTTCTTTGCTAGAATCAAAGTGCAGTATATTAGTTTTGTTCTTGAGGCGGAGCACCAAGTAAGGAGTTAACATGAATTTTCAACAAGTAAGTTTTTATCTATATAAAACTTTACTTATAGATATATTTATACTTTTGTAATATTTTTTCATTTACAATTAATAATAGTACGCTTGAGACATATTATATATTTATGTTTAGGGAACACAAGCAAAGATTATCAGTGGAATGAATTTATCCAAATGTAAGTACAAACATTTAGCTTTCATATTTAATTATCCCTCACATAGTTTGGTTAAACTTTGAATTTTCATTTATTTCAGTGCTATAAGCAATCAAGAAGCACATAATGCGGATATTATGTTATTCCCTATATGTATGAGATAGTTCAAGTTGGAAGTATTGAAAGATTATATAAAGTGTTTGATTTTTTTTATTTTAGTTTAAATTTTTGTATTTAACTCCTTAAAGTATTGTTTTGATTAATTTTATTATTTAAACTTTTGATAATACAGAGCCCTATAATAAAAAAGAGATTGACAATGTTCAAGTTATTTTGACTCAACAATTCTCCAAGAGTACTTTTCAAATTAAAGAGATTGAACAAAATTTTATAGTTTTTCAATAGTTAAACAATTATATATGTAGATTAACATATTAGCTATATGGGACAAAAATTATCTTAGTTCATTCTATTAATATATATTTAGTATAGTTGTAATTGGTTATATAATCATTGATTTTGCTGGCTGGCTGTTTATAATTATTGTATAATCTATGCAATTTACAGGTTTTATGTTTTGGATGTACAAAAAATTAAACAACTTTTTTAAAAAAAATTAAACTTTTAACAATGATTATATAGAAAACTAATGTTAAAAAAATTTTGATATTAATTTTCAGGTAATAACTGTTGTGGAAAGTTAGCTTTCCATATAATTTAAATAATTGTGATGTGAAAAGCTAACTTTTCACTTCTCTTTTTTTATTTTTCCCTAATAACTAACATAAAAAGTCTAAAATAACCATTTTTAAAAGTTGTTTATGCAATAGTAAATTTCAAATCAATCAATAAAATATATTTTATTATAAATTAAGGACTATGATCTGTTATTGAGATTTTAAAAATTCTGAATCTTTAATTATAATTCATGTTCTTATCGATATCTAATTGTCATTTCCCCACTAAATAATCATAGTAGGTATTCTTTCGGTATTCAAATCAAATATGAGAATTATGTGTGGAGAGATTTGTGAAGATAAATAGAGAATAAATAAAAAAAGATCCATTTCTCCTATACTTATAATAAACACTAAACTTTATTTTTCAAATTACTTTTCTCATAATTCAACGTCGACCCATACTTATAAGATCCATGCTATTGATACACACACTGATTGACAATCTGCATAGCATGAACAGCATTCTATTTTAAACATACAACTAAACACTACACTTGACACGCTGCCAAAAGTAAGTCTCCTACACTCTAGTTGACTCACTACCAACCTCAACAATGCCACCACCTTCCTGTTCTTTATCTTCAGGCACAAGCTTCATATATACAAAAGCAACACAAAGGTAAATGCAGAAAAACACAAACGTAAATATTGCCAACATCACATAGTACCTATCCAAATGAGCTTCATCCTTGTTGAAGTTCTCGAACCACCACCTCACAATCAAAATACAAGGAATCCCCAATATCTTGCCAAAGCATGAAACCATGTCTTTGGAAAGCCTCCCAGGATTCATCAATGTCTCGATCTCATCCTCATCTGCCAACAATTCCTCTAACCCACTTTGGGCCAACCCTTCCACGATTCCTAATAAAACATAGTGAGGACACAACCATGCCACACTTGTCCTGGGGTCCTTATCAATATTCACCACTTTCTTTCTTTCAATCTCCACTTTCCAAGCTATAACACAACATATAATGGCACAAAGCATCCCAGTACCAATTCTTACTAACGTGATCCCTTGTTTTTTGTTAGCCCCACAGATCCAAAATATCAGTATGGTGATTTCATTCACAGCGCTCTTTATTACAATCATGAAAGAAAACCGCACATCCTCTTCCTTTTTTATTCCGGGAAGCTTCATTTTAGTACCTTGTTCTTGAAAGAAAACATTACCAGTAGCCAATACTAAGCTGAATGCGATGCAACTAAACATCAAAAGCCACTTCACGGATATTACTCGTTTTGGGACTTTGGTGGCATCTTTGTGAACTGATGATTGACCAATATGTCCCGTACTGTTGGAGCCAAAAAGGAACAAGAGACCAGATGATGTCATTACAATAGCTGAGATGTGAAAAACTCTTACCCATGGGAGTTCCATAAAGCCAAAGATAGCTACGGTGGCTCCGACAATCCAAGAGCTCTGAACCCATATGTTCTTACAGATTTCTGCTCTTTTTATCTCTGCCTCATTGCTCTGGGCTTTTAGTGATCGAATATTGTTGCATTCACATAAATTATGCTCAAGAAATGACTTGAGAAGTGGATGTGCTCCTCCCTTTCCTAGTGCGAAAAGCAAAGATATCACTAAGAAAAGAGGCATGTTCTTCTCTTGATGTTCCTGTCTTGCATATGACCATAAAACCATTATTCCCTGACAAAACAAGTATATAGTTATAAATAGTCAGCATAGCGGCATCTTCAGTGCTTGATAAAAAAGACTAGAACGTAATATAGGAACCAGTGGAGATCGACTTACTGCAATATAGGAACCAGTGGAGATGACAATAGCGAAAAAACGATGACCAAATCTTTCCCTAGTGAAGTGAACAAGAATTATAGCCGCGAAGGAAGCGAGGCCTTCTTGCAGACACAAGAGAAGTGCAGCTTCAGCTAGACGATCTTGCATAGCTTCTTGTGTGTAGAAGGTTATCAGGATCGACACACACGCATACTCCACCACGTTATAACCGACAACCAAAGCTGCATCAAGAATACGTGCATGAATTTAAATTAGAACTTAATGAATGTTATGATCAAATTAAAGACTCGTGATTGATTGGAAGGATGATCTTAACTTACCCCAGCTGAAGAAGGCACTAGGACTTAAAAGGAAAGGGTAGCGGAAAACAGCTTGTGCTCTAGACACTGCAATATTAATGATTTTCATTCTGAACTAGAATGTTTAGCAATACATGTCGTACGTCTAATTCATTTACATATTTATGACGAGGTTTGATTCTATTGCAGTGTTTAAAATACTATTTGGTCAAAGTTCTAAGCGCGTTTATCATTTGTGTCTCATTGTTATTTCTCGAGTCTGGATATAGAGGATTATATTGAAAATCAACGACTTGTTCTTCACTAGAATATGTTTCTCTCCTCAGCATATCACTTCACGGCATATACATCTAAGTCAACGACGCACTAGGATATAGTGATTTAATTTCCCAGAAATTACGTACAGGATCTTTTACCCTTTTTTTTTACAAGTTCAGGCATTAAGAGGAGTATATTTTTTTATTAAATTTAAATCATATTAATACAAAAAATAGTCAATATAAAAGTTAGACATTAATATATAAATTTAAATATATATCATATACAATATACTAAGAAGATGACGCGTTAACTAATCATTTTTAAATAAACGATTGAGATTGCAAATCAAGAAAATCACAATTTTCTGTAAGGAAAAACACTAAATCCCTATCTATTGACTACCTTCTTGGAATTGTTGAATTTTATTATAATCAAATCAATTTAAAATTTTCTAAGTTCATATATATGGAACCGTTATCTAGAAAATGGCCCCTATGCTTTTATTATGAATATCCGCATTTTGCACTTTGCATTACTGTTTTTCTTTCACTATACACATACATGTGAAAAAAATAAAAGTGAAAATATATATTTCATTGGAATTATATATAGGAAGGTATGGTAGTTAGGATTAGCTGTAATGACTAGTTATAAATCTAGCTACTGAAAAATTGTAGTTTATTAAGGAGATAAATTTAATGAACATAATGCTAAAGAACACAATTTTTTTTAAAGAAAATAAGATTACTACTATTAACATTTTGATGAAGTTATCAAGGTTATAGAATCGCAATATTTTTATAAAATAAAAATATCAAAATATAACTATTTTAAGAAGATTGTTTGATATATGATAGAAATGATGGAATTGGATCCATTGATGAATAACCTAAATACACTTATTGAAGAATGTTTCAATTGCAGTCTTTAAATTTCATCAACACTTAAAAGTTATCAAGATACATTTTCCTTCAAAAATTCAAAACATTTTTGGCATGCATTGTCCTCTCAAAAAATTTCTAACAACTTTTCGATTAAACTGAATGGTGGTCATTGTATCATGGATTCAAATCTTAGAAATGATGGGCTTATACCAAATTAATGATCGAATTTCGGAAGTCTGGGAACATTATGAGAAGCGTTTGTCTGGGTCAAGGTCAACCCTTAAAACTCTAGTGTTTCTCATGTTAACGCACACGAGATCAACGATTGAAACACGAGTTTATATAATTGATATCTTGCATGTGGACAGCGTGGGGGTTGCTATCCATCCCTCATTTTCTTTTTGGTAGATGTATCCCTCATTTTATTGTGACATTTAAATTATGTATTTATTATCAACAGGATTGAGTTTAGCGGATGGATTGCTAATCTTTCAATGTAGTGAACCTATACTTGAATTATCACTAGTAGATACTCCTAATATATTTAATACCTGATCATACTTCAAATAAAATTATTTCTAATTAAATATTTGTTTTGATTTAGCAATAGATCTTCTTTGCCCTTATTTATTGAGTAGGAAATTCATTTGATTTAATTATAAAATTTTGAATTAGTCCTGCACTAGCTACATCATCACAAACAAAAGAAAGACAGACATCAATTATATCCCTTTCAGGTTTCAATTTTGACTTTTCATGACAAAGGCAATCAAATGGTGTTACTGTTAGATGGGCAAGACTTGGGTTTTATCTTTAATTTTACATGCTTCCGTGCAGTTTCACAAGAAACTTCCTGCAAGATTTGGGTTTTATCTTCAAGTTTACATGCTTCCATGCAGTTTCACAAGAAACTTCCTGGTTTTCTAACCTTCCATTTCAATATTATGCATGTACATTCAAAATTGACATCAGTAAGAAAGAAAGTAGCTACCTTTTTTTTTAGGCAATTAATTGGGAGGTTGTCAAGCGGCTTTTTGGGGTGATCTAGAGGAAGCTTTGACAGCAAGGTACTTTGACGTTTTCTCAAGCCATCTCTTCAAACCGGTCCAATTCCGTCACCACATAAGGACCAACCCACTCAATCACTTCCCAAAACAATGAAAACAAAGTCTTAGCATCTTTTACTTTTGAAAAGCATAAATAGATTTCACAAAGACCATTTCATATGTTTAATGAACTAAGAAATTTATCAATATTTGTTGCCTCACATCTGTTCAACCATCAGCCATGAGTGTACATTCAATGTTTTTCCATTTAGCTCGATGACTTTCATTAAGTAATTGACATTTTTTTTCAATCTATTAATGAGTTGATTTTAAATTCATAAACATTAGCTAGGGACTTTAAACCCTGGCCCAATTGAAGCAGTAACATCTATAGTTTTTTTGGAAAGGAAGGGTAATATGATGCATTAAATGGAATGCAATTGATGATAGCCTATTCAGCAATGGCCATCTTTGCGTTATATTGTTTTTCTTTAGCTGCAAATACACTCTTGATTCCTGGTTAGGAACAAGCAGTTGTCCTGAGGGCAAAATAATTCTCAATTGAAGTAGTAGGAGCTTGCCTCTTATTAGCACTTAGCTTCTCTCAGGGACTATCTTAATTGGAGTATGTAGGAGCAATTAGGTCATTAGCTTCAAGATCCTCAATCTCCACTTGTACTTATTCTTATTCTTTTCTATTATCAAGCTTCCTTTTTCTCCCACCTTTAAAAGATTCTACCATCTTATGATGCACATCATGAGGAACTTTCTTACCAAAAACTACCTGGCAACTTACACCAATAACATACTAGTTTCATTCTATTTATCCTACCTCCTTTATAGCTTGATGCACAATAAAGACAAGCATACACACTTTTAGCACCCTCTTTTTTAAGGCAATATGTGCCCATATAGGATCAATTTTCTTATGCATAGTAAGGCCCTAGATGTTGAGTAAGTTGAAAAAGAGGTGTGGGATAGAAGAGGAGTTTTATGTAGATCTTATGGGAAGGAGTGGTGGTTTAGCATTGTGGTGGACAAGAGAGGTGGTGATAAATGTATGGCATTATTCTAAGAATATCATACATATTAGTATGGTTTCTAATACTATACAGGTGCTTGAAAATGATAATTTTGTATATGGGGCACCTAGAGTAGAGGATAAGGAGTAAGTTTGGAGGAAGATGAGAAGGTTAAGCTATGGTATAAGGGGTCCGTGGTTATGCGTTGGGGATTTTAATGACACCTTGACTAATTTTGAAAATTTAGGTATCGGGGCTGATTTTACTTGGTGTAATGGTAGAATGAGATCTGACCATGTTAAGCAAAGATTGAATAGAGTTGTAGCTAATGTGGCTTTTAGAGAGAATTTTCAAAATGCTACAATGGTGCATTTGGAGCTTGTGGCATCTAATCATCATTTGCTACTTGTTGACTGTGAATATATTCATGCTAAAGTGCTAAAAATGTTTAGATTTAAAGCTTTTTAGGTTGAGCATGAGGAATTTCTTCAAATAGTTAGAAAAGGGTGGAAAGCAGGGGTAGGGTGAAATGTTAATAAAGTTGGGGAATTGACCTGGCGTTTAAATAATTGTAAGAGGGTGTTGATAGAATGGGCAAAGCATAATTTTCCTAATATTAGATCAATAATTAATAAATTAACTCAAAAGCTTGAAGAATGTATAAGAGGTAGGTTGACTGATGAAAAGAGGTGTGAAACTGAAGAGTTAGTCAGACAAATTGAAGAAGCTTAGGACCATGAAGAGAAGTATTAGTGGCAAAGGTCTCGTGTAAGCTGGTTGAAGGCAGGGGATAAAAATATAAAGTTTTTTCATGCTAGCATTGTTCAGAGAAGGGTAAGAAATAAGGTGGTGAGACTGAAGGATAAGGATGGAAGTTGGTTAAAGGAAGAGAGCCAAATTAGTGATCCTTTTATTGACTTTTATAGTAGATTATTTATATCTGGAGGTGTGGCATGCATGAATAATGTACTGAAGTTTATAAAGAAAGTGGTGATAGATGTTGATAATATGCAACTTGAGGAAAATGTTTCAGTTGAAGAAATAAAATGTGCTACTTTTCAACTTGGTGGATCAAAGGCACTTAAACCTGATGGTTTTTCTAGCTCTTTTTATCAATCTGCATGGGGTGAGGTTAGTGATGAAGTAGTGTTAATGGTATAGGATTTTTTTTCTAAAGAAACTAGTTTGAGGGTTGTCAATGATACAAATGTTGTTTTGATCCCAAAAGTTGGAAAAGCTAAAAGTGTAGGTCAATTTAGACCTATTAGTTTATGTAATTTTGTGTACAAAATTGTTTTGAAAGTTTTGTCCAATAGAATGAAGGATTTATTAGCCAGAGTAATATCTTGTAATTAGAGGGCTTTTGTTGCAAATAGGCTTATTCAAGATAACATTATTATTGCTCATAAAGCTTTCCACTATTTGAAAAATAAGAAGAAGAGTAAGAAAGTGGATATGGCAATAAAGATTGACATCAATAAGGCTTATGATAGGCTTGCATGGTGCTTTATTGAGGAAGTAATGAAGAGAATGGGATTTAACGAGCTGTGGATTCATTGGATAATAGAGTGTGTTAGGTTAGTGAGCCTTAATCTGGTTATTGCAGGTAAGAAGATTGCCACTTTGGAGATGGGGAAAGGTATAAAGCAAGGTGATTCATTATCTCCTTATCTTTTTTATTATGGCAATGGATGTTCTTTCTGTTATGATTAATTGTCATGTAGAGGAGGGGAAGCTAAAGTGTATTAAATTAACTCATGGCTATCTAATGTTATCTCATTATTTTTTTGCTGATGATGCATTGCTTTTTGTCAATGCTACTAAGAAGAATTGTAGAATTGTAAACCAAGTTTTGGATGCATATTGTAAGGTGTCAAGTCAGTATGTTAATCTTGA